GGCAGTGGTCATCCTTGCCTAGTTCCAGATCTGAGTGGAAATTTTTTTAATTTTTTTTTTTTATTTTGAGACAGAGTCTCACTTTATAGCCCTTGGTAGAGTGCTGTGACATCACAGCTCACAACCTCCAACTCCTGGGCTTAGGCGATTCTGTTGCCTCAGCCTCCTGAGTAGCTGGCACTACAGGCGCCCGCCACAACGCCTGGTTATTTTTTCGTAGCAGTTCGGCTGGGGGCCGGGTTTGAACCCTCCACCTTCAGTATATGGGGCTGGTGCCCTACTCTTGAGCCACAGGCGCCGCCGTTCTTTGATTATTCTTAAACAACATTTTAAGCAATAAACTTTGTTTTTTAGCAGACATAGCAAAATAATGAACTATATTTTTAATGTTTGAAATAAGTATTCAATTCAAATTCAACCTTAACCTTTGCAGGAAAGGCAACTAGAAAAAATGAAGTCATTTATCAATTATTCACCCAAATATACATTTTGAGCATCAACTGTTCATAAAGGATTAATCTTAAAGACTGAAGGTTACTCAGTCTTTAGCCTCAGAAAAATGCTGATGTAACTGGAAAGGTCATGCACAATAGCGTTAATTGCAGAATTGCAATTAGAAGTGCCCTTAGAAGGCCAATATATATAACCTTACTGCTTCTGCAAATAAAGATTTCCTAGGTCCAGAGAGTTTAGAGACCAATCATATACAAGGATGATGATAGAGTTGGGTGTAAAATGACAATCTTAAAAATGACAACAGAGCCAGGCACGGTGGCTCACGCCTGTAATCCCAGTACTGTGAGAGGCTGAGGAGAGAGAATTGCTTGAGCTCAGGAGTTTAAGACTTGCCTGATGGAGAGTGAGACCCTGACTCATGAGAAAAATGGAAAAACCCAGCCAGGCACTGCAGGCTCCTGTAATCCCAGTGGCTTCTGGAGGCTGAGGCAACAGGATGCCCACAGCCCGAGTCTGAAGTTGCAGTGAGCTATGAGGCCACTGCACTCTGCTCAGGGGCATAGGGTAGGACTCTGTCTCAACAACAACAAAATAGCAAAGAAATAAAAATAAAAAATAAGCAAGGAAATTTAAAAAATGACAAGGCTTGGCACCTGTGGCTCAAGTGGCTAAGGCGCCAGCCACATACACCTAAGGTGGCGGGTTCAAATCCAGCCTGGACTCGCCAAATAACGATGGCTGCAACCAAAAAATAGCCAGGTGTTGTGGCGGGCGCCTGTGGTTCCAGCTACTTGGGAGACTGAGGTGGGAGCCTTGCTTGAGCCCAGGAGTTGGAGGTTGCTGTGAGCTGTGATGCCAAGGCACTCTACCCAGGGGGACAGCTTTAGGCTCTGTCTCAAAAAAAAGAGACAACAAAGCTAAAATAGCAAACTGAACTGTAACTAGGATATGAATTGAAGGAAAACTGATCAAGCTGTGAAGAGGCCAAGTCACTGTGGGCCTGGGTTTTCCTGCTGCCTTGTTTAATAGCACAGCTGCCAAGGGAGCAGGTGGGACAAGGTACCCAGTAGGTAATTTGAAAAAATGGATGTCAGTTTAGTTCAAAATCTGTTTTCCTACTGGTTTATAGAAAACTTTGTCTTACCTCAAACCCAAAAGATAGAGACTCTGCAAAATATTTATAGCTGACAACCACATGACCTCAGAATATTTCTTCTCCATCAAGATCACTGCCATGCTGACCAGGCAGTAGCCTCAACTTTCTCATACCATATATAAACCTTATTTAGAATTGTGATGTGACTTTAATTTTTTTTAAGTTATTTCCCTAGGAGGAGGATTCTTTTTTTTTTTTGAGACAGGAGCCTCAATCTGTCCCGCTCGGTAGAGTGCTGTGGCATCACAGCTCACAGCAACCTCCAACTCCTGGGCTCAAGCGAGTCTCCTGCCTCAGCCTCCCAAGTAGCTGGGACTCCACAGGTGCCCACTACAATGCCCAGCTATTTTTTAGTTGCAGCCGTCGTTGTTGTTTGGCAGGCCGCTGGATTCGAACCCCCCACCTTGGGTGTAGGTGGCTGGCACCTTAGCCACTTGAGCCACAGGCACCAAGCCCCTTTTTTTGAGACAGAGTCTCACTATGTTGTCTTCAGTAGAGTGCTGTAGTGTCACAGCTCACAGCAACCTCAAACAACTCTCGGGCTAATGCAATTCTCTTGCCTCACCCTCCCAAGTAGCTGGGACTACAGGCGCCCACCACAATGCCTGGTTATTTTTTGTTGCAGTTGTCATTATTGTTTAACTGGCCTAGGCTGGGTTCAAACCTGCCCGCCACTCTTGGTGTATGTGGCTGGTGCTGTAACCACTGTGTTATGGGTGGGGAGCCTAGGAGGAGGATTCTAAACATGAGGGACACCAAAAGAACTCACCTGTTTCATAATCCAAAGGAATCTGAATATCTGTGATGTCTCCAAAAGGAATAAAAGCAGCATGAAGAACTTTATCATCCACCTCCTCTGCCAGCCCACCTGTAAATAAGACAGGGGCCTTCTGAGCCATTGTCCACCATGCTATTTCTTGCAGAAGTCCCAGCAGCCTGGTTAGCATGCTAGCCAAGGGAAAGGAAGGGGTCCTTCCATTTCATTTCTTTGGGTACACAAACTCCCCTTTCTCATTTATGGCCCATTCATGAAACACACGCCTCTCTTCACCCTTTTTTCAGACCCTTATCTAGGCCCAGGATTACTGCACAGGTTCATAACTGGGATTAGTGCCTTCACTCCCTCTATCAATACCACAAAGCCAAGTACAATTATCTTGGGAAAATGCAGATTTTTGAACTTATCTACTCTCTGCTTAATTCCTTCAATGGTTTCTCACTGCCTTCAGGATAAAGTGCAAACTCCTTAACAGTGTACACACCTCTCCAGTTTCTTTCTCTTTGCTTCCTTAATTCCCTGGGTCCCCCCCTCCTCCAACCACCACCACCAAAACAAAACAAAACCCACTTGCCCCTAAGTGTTAGGCCGTTTCACAAACTGAGTAGTCACTACAGAGTAGCGGTACCCGGAAAGTTTGCCCTCACCTCACCAGATGGACAGGTCCTTTTTCCCTGCACCCAGACCCATCGTCTGTTACCAGAGGGCTTATCATGTGTTAATGAGGTTATTCCCACTTTTTTCCTGGCTAGTCTGGGAACTCCTCCCTTTAGGGTAGGTTCAGCTATCGCTGTAGAAAATGAATGGGCGCGAGGATCTGGAGGATCATACTATTCCTCTACCACTTCTTGGGGACCTATTGAAACTTAGCGGGCTAGGAATAAAGCCGGTATGATCGTTACGTCTCAGGCTTACACCCTGAGACAAAGCGATACCGCCCTAGACTCGCGCTTGACAGCGGCTAGCAGCCATCCCCAACCGCAGCACCCCGACCCACTCGGGGTCTTGGTTCGCGCAGACCCTGCCTAAAGCCTGCGCCTGCTCACCCACGTACAGCACACGCTTAGTAGTGGCCATTTTGCTCCCGCGCTCTTCCGCCGGAAGCCAGCACGTGCCCCGCCCTCTACATCCCCGCCCCCTCTGGATTCGCCCTGCCCCTGCAGCGAGGCAGTCACAGGCCCCGCCCCACCCCTCCAGGGGCTGACTAGCTGCCGGCGGTAGGCTACCGACAGGTGTCTCTCCGAGCTGTGGAAAGCAAACCGTGGCTGATCAACTGGGGTATTGTCAGCAAACGATAAACTACAAATAATCGTAAGGTCGACGGGCCACCTGGCTTACATGTTTTTGAACAACCTAAGAGTTAAGAATGGTTTTTCCATTTTGAAATATTGAAAAAAAAAATGAAGAGTATTTTGTGACACGTGAGAATCATATGAAATTAAATTTTCAGTGACCATAAATAAAATTTTGTTGCTGGCATCCGTGGCTGCCTTCTTGCTGCAAGGGCGGAAGCTCAGGCCCACAAAGCCTGCAATATTTACCATCTGAGAGCCTTTTGGGGGAAAAATATGCCAATACATAAATCACACATTGACATAAGTGGTAGAAAACAATGGAGCCATCTTTTAGATAGGGTAGGAGGTTAAGACCTCCCTTAGGTGACACTGAAGCTGAAATCTGAAGGAAAAGGAGCCAGAGAGAGGCGGGAGTAGGAAAAGATTTCAGGCAGAAGAGACGGTTCTTACACTCTACAAAAAATGAGAGCCCAGAGGATGGGGTCATGGGGGTGGAGGGCATGAAATCAGGTGGGAAATGTGTCTGGGGGTCACACCACACAGGGAATTGTAGTCACGTGAAGATCTGAGGGGTGTGAGGAGCTACTGAAGTTATAACAGGGACGTTACATAGGCACATTTATGACTCACATAGTACTCTGAGCCAGGCCCAGTGGCTCACACCTGTAGTCCCAGCTACTGGGAGGCAGAGACAAGAGGATTGCTTTAGCCTAGGAGTTAGAGTCCAGCCTGGGCAACATAGAGAGACCCCAACTCTTAAAAAAAGTAACAATAATAAAATAGTGCTCTGACCACTGGGTCCAGAATGGATTGGGTGGAACCCTGGAGATCAGGAGATTAAGGCAGTAGACTAGGGAAGAGTTGATGAGAGGAGTAGCTCTTTCCTTCCAGTCAACCCTCCAGCTTGTCTAGTGATCTTTCTTTAAAATAAGCTCAAATTCTGTGCTTAAATCACTGCTGCTGATAACAAGGCTCTCGACAAGGGGACCTAGCCTAACCCCAAGTCAACCTGGCCTCCACACCAGCTCCTCACCTGCTTACCATGGCCATTTTCCCTTGCCTCTGTCTTTGCTCATTGGGTTCTTTCTCCTTTTTTCATCCCTCAGGCCTTGTTAAAACCTAGGTAATGTTCACTCATCTAAATCCCCAACAGAGGTCATGGTCCCCAAGTCCAGAATTCAATTAAACATTGGAACGTACTCACAATGGTAGTCAGGCTTCTCTCTTCTTCTCTCTCACACACACACTAGGTCAAGATCTTTGACCCCAAGGCGTATACCCATTGTACTCCCAGACCTAAGTAGGGGCTATACAAACAGAAACCTTGCCAACCTCAGGCCAAACCAGGAAGATGATGCTCATAAAAATGAGGCTTTGGGATTTGATTAGGAGAATTCTATGTACTGTGCATCCATCACTATTCCAAACCAGCAAGATCACTCTCTAGAAAAATCTAATCCTATATGATGGTGTGGTATAGTAAGAAATATACACTTGGTTTTTGTCCCAGTTTCTGGCACAGAGAATTTAAACACTTGGAATTTCCTGAGTGCTGTAGCTTTTGTTATTCACAATGAGCCTATTGTGACCATACCTGAGTTTATGCTAAGCAGGGTACACATGTTGGGACCCCTAGATAGCTTCGGGATGAGGGCTAGTCACTAGAGAAACCAACCACATGGTTAGAGGCCTGGAAGTTTCAGCCTCACCCCTGACCTCTGGGGAGGGGAAGAGGACTGGAAATTGGGTTCAGTCACCAATGGCCAATGATTCAATCAATCATCCCAAGGTAACCAAACCACATATAGAAACTCCAAGCAGGGTTTGGGGAGTTGCCCAGTTGGTGAACACATTGACATGCTTGGAGGATGGCATGCTCTTCATTCCCCCTCAACCTTCACCTTGCCCTATGCATCTCATCCTGTAATCTTTCCAGCTAGGTTTAAATGCCTTGTTTAGATGAGCAGGAACAAACATTCCCCTGTGGGGAGGATAGTAATAAAGAACCAAATTGAATCCCAGTAAGGAATAGCCAGTGATATATAGATTGGCTCTAGGTTCTGGCCCCGTCTTCTTCTTCTTCTGTAGACATGTGGGTCATTCATTGAGCATCTGCTTCTTTTCCTGATGTGGCCAGCACAGAGGTGGTCAGAGGCTCCTGGCCCTGCACATGAACCATAGGCTGAGATGTCTGGGAGCCAAGAGGGGTGGCCGGTTAGCCCTGAAGAAAGGGTAACACTTGACAATGATCAAAGTTAGGGCCATGGTGGCTCATGCCTGTAATCCTTGCACTCTGGGAAGCTGAGGTGAAAGGATCCTTGAGCTCAGGAGTTCAACACTAGCCTGAGGAAGAATGAGACCCCATCTCTGCTAAAAATAAAAAAAAAACTAGCCAGGTGTGGTAGCAGGTACCATAGTCCCAGCTGCTTGGGAGGCTGAGGCAGGAGGGTCCCTTGGACCCAGGAATTTGAGGTTGCCGTGAGCTAGGCTGATGCCTCAGCACTCTACCCTGGGCAACAGGATGAGACTCTGTCTCAAAAAAATAAAAAGTTAGGACAGGCTCATGCCTGTAATCCTAGCAGCCTGGGAGGTGAAGGCAGGTAGATGGCCTGAGCTCATGAGTTCAAGACCAGTCTCAGCCAGAGGGAAACCCATTTCTAAAAATAGCCAGGCATTGTGTCGGGTGCCTGTAGTCCCAGCTATTTGGGAGGCTGAGGTGAGAGGATTGCTTAAGCCCAATAATTTGAGGTTGCTGTGAGCTATGATGCCATAGCACTCTACTGAGGGTGACAAACAGAGACTCTCAAAAAAATTTCTTTTATAAAAAAAAAATGTTAAGACAGTCCAACCATTCAACACCTGAGTGCTACCATTCAGAATGCCAACGGAAGAGAACAGGTAACAGTCCCTGAACAAATTCCATTCCTTGTGAGGGGAGCGGTGGTGATATAAAAACTACACAGATTGGTGGAGAACAGGCTATGAGGTGGCAGGGCCCCCCACAGCCTGGGAGATGCTCAGGGAGTGACCCCCAACCACTTCTCGTCCTTTAAACATTCTTTTCACCTGCCAGAAGTCGTGTATCCCATACATACTTTTCTTATTATTGGCAAGCACACAGCTTTACTCTTTAAGGTTGATCTTTAACCCGTGTGCTAAGATTTATGTCATTTAGCAACTTTGTTAAGCTACTATATGAATAAAGCTGTTTCCATGGTTCAGTGCTAGGTGCAGCAATTAGCTACATCACCCCACCCCACCCCACCCCACCCTGCCCCTCCAGCCCCCCACCCCATCCCCCATCCTTTGTCTCTTGTGTGTTTTATGTCTTTTATGTCTTTCTTTCTCATTTCCCACCATTCCCACTCAGTTTATTTCTCCTTCCCCACATTGGTTTTCAAGGTAGATGCTCATATACATTCATATACATCATAAAATGCAATACATACCTAATCTATGTCAGGCCCAGTACTAGGGAGATATTTCCACAGACATTTAGCCCTCACAAACTTTTTTTTATTTTTTTTGAGACAGAGTCTCAAGATGTTGCCCTTGGTAGAGTTCTGTGGCATCACAGTTCACAGCAACCACCAATTCCTGGGCTTAAGTGATTTTCTTGCCTCTGCCTCCCAGGTAGCTGGGACTACAGGTGCCCACCACAATGCCTGGCTATTTTTTGGTTGCAGTTGTCATTGTTGTTTGGCAGGCCCGGGCTAGATTCAAATCCACCAGCTCTGGTGTATGTGGCTGGCACCTTAGCCGCTTGAGGTACTGGCATCGAGCCCTCACAAACTTTTTGAGATAGAAATTATTACCCCATTTTACCCTATGGCCCGCAGTCAGGTCAAGCAATTTACTTACATTAGCAAAATAATAACTAAGTGGTCAAATTGTTTATTGAATATGTAAAACTGTAGTAGCTATCTTTGGTGATACTGCTTTCCCTAAAAGACTACATTAGCCCTCTTGGAGGGATTTCCAGAAGTGACTAGGCCAAAGGGTATAAAACAGGTATAATTATTAATTACACGATACTACTTCTGTCATTAACTGCTCTAGAATTATTAGCATATCACATCAGTGAGGAGCTCAAGCCTACACACAGGTCTCTGAAGGCAATAGAGAGGATTCATATCTTTTCACATGGCATTAAGTTTTAGAAGTCTCAACTTTAGAGAGCTTTAGGTAGGTGAAATGAGTGGGAGAGTGGGAAGCGTCATTTTCTTTCCTGTATTTCTGAAGGGTATAGTTAGACGTCAGAATCACACTTAGCCTTATTTGTGTTTATTTTTTAAATCCCCTTCGCCCCTCTTAGAGAAAAAGCATTTTAAAAGAGGGACCAGGTCAGTTTGTTTACCGCTGTAACCCCAACCCACTCCACAATTCTTTGGTATTTAGTAGAGCTTTAGTCTCTAATGAATGAAGCAGAGAAGGAAAATCTTCTTTCAGATAAAGTTGAAACGGAACATTCTATTCTTAGCACACTGGGTGCTGGGCTCTCTTGCAGACGCTGAATCATAGGCCATGGGCTGCCAACACTGGAGGTGGTATATTTATGCAGAACAGCCCAAGGAGGAGCAGTGAGCACAATTATGGTGGGGCACAGGTGCCACACAGCAGTGAGATCCCCAAAGAACAAGCCAAATTAAAGCTCATCACCTTAGCAACCACAGTCTCCAAGAGTCAGTCTTTGATTTTTAACTGAGTCAGTGTTTGTACCATGGAGACTGTTTGAGAGACCAGAAGCTAAAACATTCTATCTGCCAGCAGGGATGCTTCTCTTCAATGATAGCAGGAGGGACATATGTCCAAGTCTGC